TGGCCTGCCGCCTACTTTCTCTAACTCTATATTCCAAATTTGTGGACATGATAATTAATCTAAGGTTTTAATTTGTTCATGCTTTTAGCTGTGCGTATATCGAGTTATGGATGCACCCGGGAAGTTTGGAGAGCACGGAAGACTTCTTGAGTGCTCTCCAAACTTCCTAAGTGCAATAACATAGCTGCCAAAAATGCTTGTTTTTCGATTAACTACAAAATTCTCGTAACGCGAGACACAATAACAAAGGCTTCAGTCTATTGGCTGATTACAAACACGCCACAATGGTGTAGTTTGAGTGAAAATTCTTTCTGTACAACTGAGAAAGAAAATTTGCTTATTTATTCGTTAACGATCAATGAAAACTAAAAAGAAACAAAGGTAAAAGAGTCTTAAAGTCCACCTAAAGTGAAGATACTCACATGTTCGTAAGAAGTCGTGAAGTATGGTTTGGATTGGTTTGGATTTGCTGTAAAGATGTTTATGTTTTGCTCGGCGAAATCCAGAAAACTTGTTTTCCAGCGAAGACGACTGTCATCCTACGTTAACCTTATATTCATTTACGAACAATGGCTGGTCATTACGGCTTCTTGAGAAGACCTGGCAGCAGTTGTTTTTGTGAGTAATAAATTTATGTCTTCTTGTGCAATTTGTCTTGTCATTGCAAGAGAAATTTTCCTGCTTCAGTCGGATTGTTCGGCGATAACAAAAGTGTGTAATTCTTTGTAGCCTGCGTAGCAAGCGTTTCTGTGCTGTTTCGAGAGTCAAAGACCGCGCAACAAAGACCGCGCGAAAAATGGCCCGGGTAAGCGGGGAGGGGGTGGGGAAGAAAGGAAGGAAACGCTTGCAGAATTCAGGGCGGAAAAACGTAATGAGCATGCGTGAACTTTTTGCCCAGATCCCCTGGCCGGGTTTGAAAAAATGGCGGGATTTCAAATATTTTATTGCCTAAAAATAAGATGTTTCCACTCATAACCTGGAAAGAACAGGCAATTTGTCTTCAAAAGTTGCAAGCTGTGGTTATAACCTTATCTTTACTTAATTTTCTCGAAGAATATCTCATAGTAAAACGGACTTTAACGACATCAATTTCCTTGCGTTGTACTGGAAATGTGCATGCGTAGATCCGATTTTTTTCAAGATGCATTCACAAAATGTGTTCATATAAGCAAGTTCCTGGATATATAAGGTCCGGAGCTCCACCGTGGACACAAAAACAACATATCTTTGGACAGTGATGTGCCCAAAAAAATTAACGCTTGCCCACAATGTGTTTGAAGGCACTGAACTTGTCGCACTCGAGCTGATATTTTAAAACCCTCGCTCGATCGGACACTCGTAGTTTCGCAGATAACTAAAATATAAACAAAATCCTCAATGTACAAGTTATTGCGTTGTTATGCGGGCAGAAAAAAGGTCAATCTTTATCTAGTAAAATCTTCCCAAAAATCGGTTTTAAAGCAACTATAGTTTATTTTTAAACTTGATCGTTTCGCGTGCTAAGAGATAAATGTAAATTATGCTTTGTGTTGTCAAGTTGAAAATGCATAACATCTGTCAAAAACCTACACGTAAGTAGGATTTCCTTCAAACAAAGTTAAAATTACATTATTGCAAAAACTTCTTGCTGACAATTCTTCACCTCGCGTTGATAAGCGTAGAACGTTTAATCGCCGTGAAGTTCGCCTTAAGATACCACACCATCGTAACCAATCCTCGAGCACTGATCATTGCCTTGGCGATGTGGTTTTTTGCTGCGACCGTTACGATAACTTTTGCAACGACACTTGTAGCAAACAGTGGAGACATTGGACGGTTTCGCCAAGCGATGGATCCACACTGTAAAAACCCTGAAGATCCTTTGGATCACGATCTTAATCCGTTAATGAAAGGGCTTCTCATCTTTCTAGTAATGTTTTTGCTAGTCATCCCCTTGGTAATCATTTTGTGTTCATATGGCTACATCTTTATCGTCTCCTACAAACATAGGAAAAATATAAGAGGACAAAACAACATTCCAGGAATGGCTACCGCCATCAAGCACGAAATGAAAGGCGCCAGTACTCTTGCTATTGTTGTACCTGTCCGCCTTCTCAGTATCGTCCCACTGATAATCATGACAGGCCTTCGCTTTTTCGGCGAACTTCCGGAACGTTGCGACCCAAAGAGAAAGTTAATTAAGTTTATTGTTTTTGACTTAGCAACAGGCTTAAACACCATCTGTAATCCTCTTGTCTACGGATGGAGAAATGAAAAATTCAGAACCGCTTTTCGCAAACTGCTGAAGTGCTCTTAAAACGCGAAGTTGTGCGCCGTTGGAAGCTGGGATTAAAGAGCCTGGTGTTTTAAATGGAGAATTTGCCACCAGAAAAAAATTACTCGAATAGGGTCGAACATTTTCCAGACTTTAGGAGCAAGTTCTGGCATTAGGTATTTTGGGAAGAAAAATAGGAAGAAAAAAAAACTGCTGCGGCATATTTAATGCCTTTTTTTTTAACAGTTAACACATGCATGATCATACGAAATTTACATTTATCCAATTTATCCTAAAGTGACTAGGATGAGTCCATAGTTTGCCACAAAATAAATTATAATGGACTAGAGGTTCTGAGAAGCAAGCGGCACATCCCCAGCAAAAGTTGACCCAAGTTTATCCCCGGGTCTAAAATAAAATGCTTTTACTCGAAAATCCCGCTGAAATTCATCCCGGTTTTTATAAACTAAATTTCAAGGTCAAGGAAACTTTTGGGCAATGATAATGAGCGTTCTGTTCAGTACAATGTGTAAGTAAGATAAAGACGAACTACAAAAAATTTCTCAGAACTTATGCCGGACTGCATGCAGTTTTTCAAAAAGAAGTGATGTTATTTACAAAAGAAGTGATGGTCGATCTAAGTTGATGTAGCTCTTATCCATATCAGCAAATACAGTGTGCCGAACACATTGTTAACACAAAATCTAATTATCGGATTATCTTGCTTTTCCTAGAAAAGAAACTTAAATAAAAACGAATACCAAAAACTGTAAGGAAAAAACGGTATTGATACACCTCGCCAGGATACAGTAAAACAAAAATTATCTGCGGTAAACGAGCGAGGCACAAAATAGATACCAGTTCTCGACCGAGAAGAACTATCACATGAGATCGAGGTCGAATGAGCCAGGCAGCCAGTCCAAGATTTCGTCCAAACCGTGAAATCATATGGCATCCAGGACGATACCTACCCGAATCCCGCGGGAAAAGAAACACGACTCTAATAGTATGCGGTCACCTAATTCCTCAAACGGGAAATAAACACTTTTCCAGTTACGCAGAATAATATACTAATTTTAAGCACCGTCTGTACGCTTCAAACAGATCGCTGCTGAGTGATCTAAGAGTCCTTTTTTTGTATGAAGTCTCTGCAAAATATCCTTATTAAACGAACTGCCCGCGGGCTCTGAAATTCGAAAAAGAAAAGTGACAAACTAAGTTTTGCTGCCATATTTGGGTGTTTGCCAATTTTTCCTGTTTGGTCGCCTCTTTTCTTTACATGAACACCTGTAGAAATATGGGCGTTCTTCATTGTATCTATTCCGCTCCAAACTTCTTCCGCTCTTTAATAAGTTTAATTTGTTATAAATGTCGCCAGCAAGTATGAATTCAATTCATTCATTATTTTCCTACTTAGTTGTTTACGCGTGTCAATTAATTTTTAATAACACAGCATCATTAAGTTAGAAATGAAAACGGACGTTTCCTAGTCGCTTGATTAATGGCTCAAAAACGAAGGTGTCGAGCCAGTGTGTCTACTTCCTTGAATAAAAACAATTTCTGTTCAGCTGACAGCTGAGAGTGCATAGTAGAATTTAAAACGGCTATTTTAAGCCGAAACTTATCCACAGTCGCAAAGAAACAGGACCCATGCATTTTTTATGCGTGAAGTCGGTTCTGATGTTGATATTAATAAACTGACTTGATAGTCTCTTAAATAATAATAATAATGATAATAATAATAATAATAATAATAATAATAACAACAACGATAATAATAATAATAATAAGAAGAATAACAACAACAATAATAATAATAATAATAATAATAACGACAATAATAATAACAATAATAATTATAATAACAATAATAATAATATAATAATAATAATTACTATTATTATTTTTTTAGTAATAATCAGTAATAATAATATTAATTCAAAGGAGTATTTAGGAGACGTTTTTAGACCTGTTAAAAAGCTCGCACTTCGTACATGTTCGGTTGTTCCTGGTATTTTAAACTCAGTAAGACGCACTGACTAGTTTATGAAACTTTCAAGCCTCCTGTTACAACTAATTTTTATTAAGAGTGCCACAGTTCTTTTGTTTTTCCTTCTAGGCCAAATATAAGGTTCCTTTTTATGAATTATAAGTTGACTCTGTACAAATTCATTTCACCGTTGAACGCAGTCAGGTGTTTAGTGTAAATTAAGAACACTGAGTGATAACTAGTTTTATTTGCTCAACTTTATACTATGCAATTTTGACATCCTATTTACTTTCTTAATGGATTCTCAATGAATTTGCGAGGACATTTACAGTTTGACGTTGTAGAAGGCAGTAATTAAGACAGTTACCCAACATTAACCTGTCTATATATATATATATATTTTATGGACAATCATGTTTATTTGGTTTTTGGTTAATAGAAATGGTTTAATTCTATACCTTTATTGCAGATGCGTCGTATTTTGTTTTGACGCTATTAAAACAAAAGGAACATCATCAATAGTTGTTATCGTTATCTAATATCCTTTGATCATATACAGAGTTGAGTTCACCTGGCCATGGCTGAATATTTATATGGTTTGATTATGATACGAAACGGAACAACAGTGGTATGAGTCAGTGTTCCGAAAACGATAGATAACATAGGTGGCACAATTTTCCTCCCGCAATGAAGAATTGCAAGACTGACCATCCCTTACCGAAGTGGAAATTTATTCTACTGTTGAACGTTCATGGGATTATCACAATCATTGCTTTGCTCGGGAGTTATCTCGTGCTAAGAGCGTTTCACAAATTTCGGAATCTGCGAACTGCTTCCAACAACATTTTGGTGAGTTTGTCTATCGCCGACGGCTTACTAGCGATTCCCTTGATTCTTGATATCATTCAGTTATGCCTTAAGTATAGTAATGTTGGGCAATGTCCAAGTATTCTTAAAGAAGTAGGCGGAACTGTCACCTTGTTTCTCTTTTCGGTCATTGTTCTTCATCTCACCTTAATGAGTTCAGAACGTTTCATCGCCATCAAGTTCGCCTTAAGATACCAGGTCATAGTGACCAAACGCCGAGCACGGATCGTTTCCATCGCGATGTGGCTGTGGGCTCTGGTCATTGTTATTGCTCTTCCATGGACGCTTTATGGGACAACAGGCCACAAAGATTACAGAGAATTTCACATAGGGATGCATCCAGATAGGGATGAAGCCCAAGAGCTCCCCATCAGATGGCATCTTGTATTCACAGCTGCGTCAATGTTTCTTGTTCCCCTGTTGATCATGATATGCTCGTACACCTACATCTTCATAGTGTCCTACAAGCAGAGACAACGTGTCAGAAAACAGAGCCGCGACGTTCCAGGAATGCCAACTGTCAAGCACGAAATGAAAGGCGCCCGAACTCTCGCCATTGTTGTGGCGCTGTGTCTGCTCAGTATCATTCTTATCCTTGTTGTGACATCCCTCCGAGTTTTCTGGGGCACATTACTCGCAGGCCACTACCAGCAAAAGTTACTGCAGCATGTCGTTTATAAGGTGGCGATGCTTTTGAACGCTGCATGCAATCGTCTTATCTATGGATGGAGAAATGAGGAATTCAGAAACGCTTTTCGCAAGATGCTAAAGTGCTGCTAAGCGAGTTTAGCGCATGAACGCCGTTAGGTATTGTATGCCATATCCAAGATTTAATATTCTTTTCTTGCAGGCAAATTGGCTAAGTATCGAGTAACAGACGATACCAAACTCTCTTTTGCAAGCCACTGAGAACAGCTCAATTTGGTTTGTACCTTTCCTCTCTTGTCTGCTAAATTACTAGACTCAAATAAAGAGCCCTACGTAGGAACTGTAATAACATAGCGGCGCGAATGTAAGTTGGTCAAATTTTGTAACGAGTTTCATTTTGACTAAAAAAAAGACTCTGTTCTATGAATAAGACCTTTTACAAGGGGCCCAGTGAAGGACATAAACTGATAGCTGCGAATTCGTCAACATTTTTACTGTCAGCAGAGAAAAGAGGGATTTTTAACTGAGTGCTGAGACTTGATCAAAAATTATTGATACGAGTGAGGAAAACCAACGGCGATTCCAACACCCCCATGCAGACCCATTTTAACTCTTAAATGTTGTAAAAGAAAAAGCTGCGCAATTTCATTCGTGCTTATGCAGATAGCATGGTGAAGAAACAAAATTTGTCCATAAAAGTTTAGAGTTAATTTCAAACATTCCAGTCTCTTGGTATCATGCAATGAAATACCATACCCAAAAACAAACCACAAAAACGCATATACCGTTTAGGCACATGGTTCAAAGAACATCTGTTGGGGGACACCGGGAAGGGGGTGACTCCCAAATGAAAACGATGGAATATTCGTTGTCTCGCTTAGGATTGATCATGACTGAAACCAATGTGATATCTTTACCCATAGGGGTATCATTGTGGATTGTGAGTAAAGAAATAACTAGGTAAAACAAACAAATGCTTTATAACAAAGGGAGAACAGTTGTGACAAAATCGCGAAAAAACGCGAAATTTGTAGTTTTTGTAATTTTCGTTAAAATTGTAAAATCACAGGTAACCCAGGCTCTGTGATAGTACCACAGTACGGTTCCAGTAAAATTACAGCGTTTGTATGGGGTAAAAGTACGATCCTAAAATTTCTACGAAATACTAAATAAAGATCAATGAAACTTACTCTGCAGTTAGTTGTTGTTGTCATTAATGGTCCAACGAAGTTTCGTGATAATTTGTTCAAATTCACTGTATATACAATAATAATATACAAGGTAGGAGACACGAGATGCCATCTTCGCCGCCATGCCCTCATTCAACTGCAACTTTTTCCACGAAATCCGAACTACGACAGAAAATAAACATGCCAGGATTGTAATAATAGGATAGCAGCAGATAAAGAAACAAATAAAGCTTTCCCAGATAGAGAAGCGAATCCCGCAGACTTAAACAAACTCGAAGGATGTAATCCAAAAAGGCCGAGAATATGCTCCCCGAAGTAGCCGGGCCAGATCAACGCGCGGCCAAGAAAATGAGGCGTGGGCACTGTACAAAAAAAATCCATCCCGGGTGTCCTGGGTTGACCTTTCTAGGGACCGATACATAGCTTTACCAAAGTTAGCCACCCCTGCTGGAAATACATTTGCTCGACGGCTATTGTTCATTTGAGAAAAACACCACTCGCCCAAGCGAACTACATGTTCCGGTGCAGAATTGTATTCTGAGGAACCTGAAGTAGGATGGAGGAGTACTGAAATCGCCGAAAAAAATAGTGGATTATGCCAACACTAACAACGTTGAATTAATGTTGACCCGATTGTTTTATTCCATGGTTGATTAATTTACAGCTATTTGCAAATACTTAAGTTGATCAAGTGCGAGTGACTACCAGAGGAGAGTGTAGATTGGTTCTTTGACAACAAAATGACATGATCATATTGCTTGCATAGACGATACAGCATGTCCCGGCAGAAAAACAGCATTTTTATAAATGAGCATGCGCTGAACCGTGAATCTGTCCCTTTAAGGACAGTACATTTGCAGCAGTTCAAAGCAATGTAGCATCCTAAACTATAGCTATGTGAAATTGGTACCATTTGTCAGTAGAAGGGTATACGAAAGGGGTACCTTTTCTGTAAAAAATAGTATATGTGGTAATGAAAGGTTAAGGCGTTTGACCTCGGGGCGGAGCCTCCTCGTATAAAAATTATCAGTCCGCTGCCGCACAGCTGGTCGATAACAGGAAGGTACTGTCTTTTTCCAAGACAGAGCTGAATTACTTGAATAATATATAGATTTAGCCACGGCTTAAAGCGAAGCGCTCGATAATATTTATAGTTTGTTCAAACCAAATATAAAATGATGTAATGCTAAGCGGCGAAGGCAACGCCGGAGAACGATGAAAAAACAACAATTTGTGTAATTAGCAAAAATGCAACTTTGCACGTGCAGCACAATTTTTCTGTACATTTCTTTGCCGTTGTTTTGCACGACTACAACGTGAAACTTCCAGAACCTTCTTAGGGCCTGTTTACATGGAGTGGGGGACCCCGGTATAGTTGGGTTGGTTTCTTTTGTTTTCACGCTCTAGGGGACACAAAACAAAAGAAACCTCCGCCACTAGACCGGGGCCCCCCACTCCATGTAAACAGGGTCTTAGTTACACGTTCTCGTACGTATTCTCGTTCACCTTTTTTTTTTTTTCACTGCCGCTCATTTTCACCTTCCATTGGTGGCCCTCTAGCGTTTCTCATCTTCTTACCTCCGCTACAAGATTTTCATGTTGTTCTTCCAACGAAAAAATGTCTTCTTTGTTTCTTTGTCTCTTGCTCTAGATCTCTGTCGCCCTTTTCCTCGTTGAGCTTCGCTGGCCTGCCGCCTACTTTCTCTAACTCTATATTCCAAATTTGTGGACATGATAATTAATCTAAGCTTTTAATTTGTTCATGCTTTTAGCTGTGCGTATATCGAGTTATGGATGCACCCGGGAAGTTTGGAGAGCACGGAAGACTTCTTGAGTGCTCTCCAAACTTCCTAAGTGCAATAACATAGCTGCCAAAAATGCTTGTTTTTCGATTAACTACAAAATTTTCGTAACGCGAGACACAATAACAAAGGCTTCACTCTATTGGCTGATTACAAACACGCCACAATAGTGTAGTTTGAGTGAAAATTCTTTCTGTACAACTGAGAAAGAAAATTTGCTTATTTATTCGTTAACGATCAATGAAAACTAAAAAGAAACAAAGGTAAAAGAGTCTTAAAGTCCACCTAAAGTGAAGATACTCACATGTTCGTAAGAAGTCGTGAAGTATGGTTTGGATTGGTTTGGATTTGCTGTAAAGATGTTTATGTTTTGCTCGGCGAAATCCAGAAAACTTGTTTTCCAGCGAAGACGACTGTCATCCTACGTTAACCTTATATTCATTTACGAACAATGGCTGGTCATTACGGCTTCTTGAGAAGACCTGGAAGCAGTTGTTTTTGTGAGTAATAAATTTATGTCTTCTTGTGCAATTTGTCTTGTCATTGCAAGAGAAATTTTCCTGCTTCAGTCGGATTGTTCGGCGATAACAAAAGTGTGTAATTCTTTGTAGCCTGCGTAGCAAGCGTTTCTGTGCTGTTTCGAGAGTCAAAGACCGCGCAACAAAGACCGCGCGAAAAATGGGTAAGCGGGGAGGGGGTGGGGAAGAAAGGAAGGAAACGCTTGCAGACTTCAGGGCGGAAAAACGTAATGAGCGTGCGTGAACTTTTTCCCAGATCCCCTGCCCGGGTTTGAAAAAATGGCGGGATTTCAAATATTTTATTGCCTAAAAATAAGATGTTTCCACTCATAACCTGGAAAGAACAGGCAATTTGTCTTCAAAAGTTGCAAGCTGTGGTTATAACCTTATCTTTACTTAATTTTCTCGAAGAATATCTCATAGTAAAACGGACTTTAACGACATCAATTTCCTTGCGTTGTACTGGAAATGTGCATGCGTAGGTCCGATTTTTTTCAAGATGCATTCACAAAATGTGTTCATATAAGCAAGTTCCTGGATATATAAGGTCCGGAGCTCCACCGTGGACACAAGAACAACATATCTTTGGACAGTGATGTGCCCAAAAAAATTAACGCTTGCCCACAATGTGTTTGAAGGCACTGAACTTGTCGCACTCGAGCTGATATTTTAAAACCCTCGCTCGATCGGACACTCGTAGTTTCGCAGATAACTAAAATATAAACAAAATCCTCAATGTACAAGTTATTGCGTTGTTATGCGGGCAGAAAAAAGGTCAATCTTTATCTAGTAAAATCTTCCCAAAAATCGGTTTTAAAGCAACTATAGTTTATTTTTAAACTTGATCGTTTCGCGTGCTAAGAGATAAATATAAATTATGCTTTGTGTTGTCAAGTTGAAAATGCATAACATCTGTCAAAAACCTACACGTAAGTAGGATTTCCTTCAAACAAAGTTAAAATTACATTATTGCAAAAAGCTGACAATGAAGAAATGAATTTTTTGTACGAAAACAACCTACCTAAAGATGTTAAAAGCAAAAGATCAGTTGCTGTGAGCTATCGCATTTAAACCATGATTCACCATGTAACTCTTCTCCTCGCTTTAATAACTCAGTGAATAACTGGTCCGTGTGAGAGTCTTCATTCAAGCAAATTAAACTCAGCCAATCGTTACAAAATTCAGAAAACTGCACATAAGGGTATTTGTTTTGCTCGCTTCAGACAAATCCAGCTCCAGCAATTCAGTGTTACGGGCAGAGTCAATTGCTTTGAAGTCACTGCCGGCAGTTGTCCTCTATTTCACAGCGAGTGAAATGGGAAATTTGCGTACAGAAAGTTATTTCTTATAAAGAACAGAAACTTTCACAGTGCAGTGGAAAACAAAACTATGTAATTAAAAGTGAAGAAAACTCTGACTACTTATAGTATTTGAGCAACAGAAAAATGATTCTTTTCTTCTAGAGTAAGTTTACTGGCCTTCTACCGGTATTTCCGAGAAAGTTTTAGGGCGCACAAAATGGTTCTTTGACTGAAGAGAAGGGTAAAGCAAAGGGAATAAATCTGGGCATGTGAAAAAGTATTTACTAATTTATAAAAAAAGTGAGTTTTAATTCAGCCCGGCGAAAGAAGGCGAAATCAACTCACAAATAAATCGAATGATCAATCAAAAAAATACTCGCCTCTTTGGAAATGTTCAAAACTCTTTATTCCACCTCAGACTGACGGAATGATCCGTTTTTCCTTTAATATTGGTTGCTCCGAGTCCAAAGTAATTTTCAAGTGACGAAAAACAAAAACCACACAAAAGTAAAAAGGCTTTTCGAGGAGCAAACGTTCACACCTTGTGCATTTCATTCAGTCTTAGTCAGAACTCTCTCAGTGACCAGTGACAAACAAACAAACTGTCGAACACAGTCAACACACAGAAAAGCCCGCCTTGAGCCTGCGATAAAGGATGCGCAGAAGCTTGCGCAGAACGTTTTTCCGCCCTGAACTTGCGACAAACTCCAGGGAATTTGAAAACCGCCTACTCTGCTTGTCATGCCTGAGTGCGCATGGTAATCTTTGTTTTCTTAACGATACTCGACTGGCTTTCAACTCATGCAAATTACCACTTGTAATGTGTAATGTACACAAGTGATTCTTATAGTCTAAATTCGAAGCGAGCAATCTCACATGAATCAATCATTTTCTCACCTTGCGTGCTCAGTCGAAAAATAAATTGTTGCTGATTTAAAATAGGGGTAACGGTTGTTGTTGTTGTTAGTCGAGGAGATGAAATACTGGTGAACAGAGAGGTAGGGCATCTAATGAGGACCAAGAGTATTGACCATAACGATCAAGGGGTATGTTCTGGAAGGGCCAATCTGGATAGTCCCTTTTTGGTATAACACCTTAGCGCACTAAATTGGACAAAGCTTATTGACTATGACGATGGATGGGTATATTCTGAAAGGGCCAATCTGGTTAGCCCCTGTTTGGATAACACATTAGCACACTTTTTTGGACCAAGAGTGTTGACCGTGACGATGGAGAGATGTGTTCTGGAGGGGCCAATCCGGATAGCCCCTATTTGGTACAACACCTTCGCGCTTTTGATCACCTAGCATGTTAAAAAGCGCACTATAAATGAATAAATTATTATTATTATTATTATTATTATTATTATTATCGTTATTACACTGTTTTGGGGCCAAAAGTATTGCGGACCATCAGAAGAAGGGGTAAATTCAGGAGGGGCCAATCTAGATACTTTTCACCTGGTGTAGTATTTTAGCAGGATTTAAATGACCTTCTTGGGCCAATCTGGTTAGCTCCCATTTGGTTTTTCAACCTTAGCACAACATGTGGGATCATACGAGTATTGACCATAAAGATGGACGAGACCAATCTGGAAAGCCCTTGTCTGGCATAACAACACCTTAACATATTATTTGAGAATTCATTATTTTAGACAACCTGGATGGTGACAGCTCCAAAACGTTGAAAACATCCTTACTATTATAACTTATTAATCTTAATTAAAACATACGCGCTTGATAAAACTTTACAAATGTTCATAAAACTTTGGAAACTTCGGAACAACTTCGGGTTATGTTGGGAAATCATTGTTGGGAAGTCATTGAGTAGATTTCCGATATCTATTATATTAACAATATTTTCAATCATTTTGGGTACCTTGCCGGTCAACTTTGTGTTCTTAATACTCAGCAGTATATTTTGGAAATGGTCTGAATCCCTTTGCAAGTGCATTATAGTTTCTGGGACCTTGCAAGGCAAGTGTCGCGTTTTATGAGGTTTTTGTTCTGGACTGGGTGTTAAATAGCAATAAGAAATAGAAAAGAGATAAATCAATCAATCAGTCTATATGATGGGTAAAAAAGAAATCTTTAGTGTACAAACTAATCAATGGTTTTTTCAAATTCTGTGTGTTTTACTAATATATTTGATGTTCAGGTGCAAAAGAAGTTGATATTATACTGTATTGTAGATCCAGAGAAAATAGCAGTGCGCAAAAAGAAGAAAATAAAATAGGGATAGAGTGATGCCAATTTACATTACGAGAAAACCCGTTTTTTCTTGGTTCTTCGAGCAAAACGGGCGAGGAAAACTTGTGACGCGCGCTTCTCGCTTGTGAAGTGTGCCACCCCATTTACTTAGTAACTCTAACGGATAAATAAGAGACTACTGGTAGTCTTCATCAGGTCAAGTTTAAAGACTTAAGTGACAAAAAAAAAGAATGGCCAAAATGTAATTAGCCATGTTTAGTCTCCTTCCATAGACATGCCCACCTCTCCGGCGTAAAAAATGCGCCCCTCACAGCCATGCATCCAAGGCGAGTCTAAAGTCTAAGTTCTCCGTTACTTCCGTTTTATTTCAGGGTGCAATAGCCTTGGCAAGAGGTATTTCAAAGCGCGAGGATTTTGACATTGTGCTTTTAGAACAAAATAAATAAGTGTTTGCTACGAAGACTTCAAGTTCGATTGACGTCCCTGTCACGTTTACGTACTTTATTCTCACTTAATTTCGCGAGTATTAGATTTGGCGAAAAATTATGAGCCATATTTCGCGAATATTTAACTTTTCGATTTTTCTGTTCTTTAATATGTAAAGACGACTTTAAACTCAGAACAGTAAAGGCAGAATAAGTAATTACCGTAATAAAACAGAAAACAAAGACGATTACGAACAAAACGTCAACCATCTAAACATAACAAAGCATAAGGCCTTCAATGGTCTAACTACAGTGTAACTACCCACAGATAGTTACATAGTAAATATCTACACTCTGATAAACTTGTTGGGATAACTGATAAAGCAACATCTTGAATATCGTTATTTTTTGCGTATAGGTGTGTCTGGTATTAAATTTCGTGATTTTTCCCGGATCGCGAAAATAGCGAAATATAATTCTCTCGAAAAGTGTACGGCAAAAGTTGACTACTTCGAACTCTCAATGCTTTTAAGAAAGTCGTTTCCTTCTCATCCTCTTGATTAACATGTGAAACAGGGAAGCAAACCCCTTCCAATAATAGAAATTACACGATCTTGTGTTAAGCGAAAGCAATCAGAATTAGTCCGGCCAGTTGGTTCTGTCTGCGCGTATGCGTCTGTGTTAAAAAGGAGTCCGCGCAGTTAAGAGGCAGCGTGCAAGCAGGCGGGAAAAAAATAAAAAAAAAAGAGTGTATCGAACTAACTACTAACTAGTTTAACTACGAATAGAAGAATAGTTCTCATTTTGTTGTTGTGTGGATTTTATGGGCCGCGTGTTGATTCTGACCTTTTGCATACAGCTGATAGTTCTTAACCCCATTACGATTCAAGTAAAAGTCAGCTGAGCATAATTTAGAGAGGAAAACCACATTGTACGATCTGCTGGTCTCGTTGCTATAATTAACTTTAGCCAGCATTGAAGTCTGAAAACACATCAGGGCCAGCAATTTTGTCTTGTAACCAGGATAAATGTGGGTTAAACGAAACGTATTGCCCTGCTCAAAACCTCAGCCTGGCGAAGGAAACAGTAATTATAATTTCAGTTATGAGCATTCATCTCATCTTCACTGTCGCCGCCGTCTTCGGTAGCTATCTTGTGATTAGAGCGTTTCACAAATTTCATAGTCTTCGAACTGCTTCTAACGTTATTCTGGTAAGTTTGTCAACAGCTGACGGTTTACTGGCGATTCCTTTGATTTTCGGCATCGTCCAAATGAGTCTTAGACTGTTAAACGGCTCTGATGCTGAGTGTAGCTCCGGTCCTCTTGGAAAAATAACCTTCATATCCAGCTTCTTTCTCATCTCCGTTATAATTCTTCACCTCGCGTTGATAAGCGTAGAACGTTTAATCGCCGTGAAGTTCGCCTTAAGATACCACACCATAGTAACCAATCCTCGAGCACTGATCGTTGCCTTGGCGATGTGGTTTTTTGCTGCGACCGTTACGATAACTTTTGCAACGACACTTGTGGTAAACAGTGGAGACATTGGACGGTTTCGCCAAGCGATGGATCCACACTGTAAAAACCCTGAAGATTCTTTGGATCACGATCTTAATCCGTTAATGAAAGGGCTTCTCATCTTTCTAGTAATGTTTTTGCCAGTCATCCCCTTGGTAATCATTTTGTGTTCATATGGCTACATCTTTATCATCTCCTACAAACAAAGGAAAAATATAAGAGGACAAAACAACATTCCAGGAAAGGCTACCGCCATCAAGCACGAAATGAAAGGCGCCAATACAGTGCCGTAGCCAGACCAAACGGCCAACCGAGGCAGGCGGGAGTTGCAAGGGGGTTCGGGGGCATGCCCCCCCCCCCGAGAAATTTTGAACTTTAGTCTCTCGGAAATGCGATTTGCAGCGTTTTCTGGGCCTTTCGGTAACTTTTTTTCGAGTTAATTTAAGTGGAATTTAAAAAGCAATAATCAGAAACAAGCTACATAATCTGGGTGACCGTTAACCTCGCCAATGGTTTTGATCAGTATTTGTTCAAAAAAAATTTGAGTTAACGTACGTAGCCCCTTGAGATCGATGATATGGTAATTTTTTCATAGTATATTGACTGAATTGCTGAATTCTTTGTAATATCATGATGCGTTAAAAATATCCGATGATCGCTTATGTAAAATAAAAATGATCGGCGAAATTCGTCAAAATTTTACCGAGGCGAGTGCCTCGGTTGGCCTCATACTAGCTAAGGCGCTGCAATACTCTTGCTATTGTTGTAGCCGTCTGCCTTCTCAGTATCGTTCCACTGATAATCATGACAGGCCTTCGCGTTTTCAGTGAACTTCCCGAACGTTGCGACCCAAAGAGAAAGTTAATTAAGTTTATTGTTTTTGACTTGGCAACAGGCTTAAACACCATCTGTAATCCTCTTGTCTACGGATGGAGAAATGAAAAATTCAGAACCGCTTTTCGCAAACTGCTGAAGTGCTCTTAAAACGCGAAGTTGTGCGCCGTTGGAAGCTGGGATTAAAGAGCCTGGTGTTTTAAATGGAGAATTTGCCACCAGAAAAAAATTAATCAAATAGGGTCGAACATTTTCCAGACTTTAGGAGCAAGTTCTGGCATTAGGTATTTTGGGAAGAAAAATGCTGCGGCATATTTAATTCCTTTTTCTAACAGTTAACACATGCATGATCAGCTTTCATTATATCCATACGAAATTTATCCAATTTATCCAATTTATCCAAAAGTGACTATAGGATGAGTCCATAGTTTGCCACAAAATATACTATAATGGAGTAGAGGTTTTAAGTTTATCCCCGGGTCTAAAATAAAATGCTGTTACTCGAAAATCCCGATGAAATTCATCCCGGTTTTTATAAACTAAACTTCAAGGTTAAGGAAGCTTTTGGGCAATGATAATGAGCGTTCTATTCAGTACAATGTGTAAGTAAGGTAAAGACAAACTACAAAAAATTTCCAAGAACTTAAGACTACGAGCAGTTTTTCAAAAAGAAGTGATGTTATTTACAAAAGACGTGATGGTCGATCTAAGTTGATGTAGCTCTTATCCATATCAGCAAATACAGTCTGCCGAACACATTGTTAACACAAAATCTAATTATCGGATTATCTTGTTTTTCCTAGAAAAAAAACTTAAATGAAAACGAATACCAAAAACCGTAAGGAAAAAACGGTATTGATACACCTCGCCAGGATACAGTAAAACAAAAATTATCTGCGGTAAACGAGCGACGCACAAAATAGATACCAGTTCTCGGCCGAGAAAAACTATGACATGAGAGCGAGGTCAAATGAGCCAGCCAGCCAGTTCAAGACTGGTTTCGTCCAACCCGTGAAATCATATGGCATCCAGAACGATACCTACCCGAATCCCGCGGGAAAAGAAAAACGACTTTAATAGTATGCGGTCTCCTACTTCCTCAAACCGGAAATAAACACTCTTCCAGTTAAGCAGAATGATATACTAATAAAAAGGTTAAGCACCTTCTGTACGCTTCAAACAGATCGCCGCTGAGTGGTGTTAGAGTCCTATTTTTGTATGTAAAAAATCCTTATTAAAGGAACTGCCCGTGCGTTCTGAAATTCGAAAAAGCATTGCCAGAAATTAGGGACAAGATGGCGGTTGCGCGTGCGCACTAAGGCCACAATGGCTGCGAATTCGTATAAGAAAATGTATGGAGATAACGAAACTTTTTCAAATATATCGATTATAAGCTCACGGGTGTTCGGTGCCCGACTCGAAACATGTTAAGTGCTGTGTAACCCTCGCATCTGGGTTAAAAATAGCTAATTAGAAGTAGGTTTACTTACTTCCTGATGTGGCCACTTTTATTCCTTGTTGTACGCTCCATTTCTCCATACATTGTCTTAAAATCTTGCCGAAGTCATGCGAAATACTCGTCGATTAGAGGATAAACCCTTCACTGAAGTAAATTTGCCCGACTCGATATCACTTCTGCGATGGAAGATGTTTCCAAAACAGTCGTTAAAAGGACGATTTTTGCACTGCAAAATACTTCCAAAGGCGCATTATTTCCCTCAGTTTTCCATCTGTAGTCCAGTAATGGACGCCATGGTTGCAAATGACACATTTCGGTCGGACAAAGCTTCACAACTCCAAACCTCACCGAATCGCCATTTTGTTTGTTGCTACAACTCCAGAGATAATTCACGGGATATAAACTAGGTTCCAGGCATTCAAAAATCCTCGATTAGCCTACCAGGCTTGGTTTTAAAACAAAATTGTCACGAAAATGTCACGAAAGGTACATCCGCGTACTGTTTTGTTGCTATCAGCCGCTCGGCCGCGTATAAACCTAACATTTTCTTGCAAGGTGTTTAATTCCAGCTTTTTTCTTCGTAAAACAGATCCATAGAGCTCAAATTATTTAAAAAATCGCAAGGGATAAGCTTTCCCTGACTACGATAGTTTTTGTCCGCCATTTTAAAAACGAGATTCCGCTGACAATTGATCACGGGCGCGAAATGTCCACGATTTCTGGCAATGAAAAGTGGCAAACTAAGTTTTACAACCATATTTGGGTGTTTGCCAATTTTTCCTGTTTGGTCGCCTCTTTTCTTTACATGAACACCTGTAGAAATATGGACGTTCTTCATTGTATCTATTCCGCTCCAAACGTCTTCCGCTCTTTAATAAGTTTAATTTCTTATAAATGTCGCCAGCAAGTTTGAATTTAATTTATTTCTCCTTCCGAATTCATTATTTTTCTACATAGTGGTTTACGCGTTTCAATTAATTTTCAATAACACAGCATCATAAAGTTAGAAATGAAACCTGACGTTTCCTAGTCGCTTGATTAATGGCTCAAAAACGAAGGTGTCGAGCCAGTGTGTCTACTTCCATGAATAAAAACAATTTCTGTTCAGGTGACAATGGTGCCTTCGCTTCATCCTCTTCTCCATTCAGTCTATAGAATTTAAAATTTATTTTAAGCCGAAACTTATCCACGCAAACTCGATAAGACGCCCTTACCAGTTTATGAAACTTTCAAAGCCTGCTGTACAACTACTTGTTATTAAGAGTGCCACAGTTCTTTTTTCGTTTTTCTTTCTAGGCCAAATATAAGGTTCTTTTTTATGAATTATTTGACTTTGTACTTATTCATTTTACCGTTCAACGCAGTCAGGATAAAAATTTCTGCTTGATAACTAGTTTTATTTAACTTTAGACTATGCAATTTTAACATGCTATTTACTTTCTTAATGGATTCTCAATGAATTTGCGAGGAAATGTAGAGTTTGACGTTTTAAAAGGCGGTAGTTAAGGCAGTTACATTACATAAACCTGCATATTTTATGGACAATCGCGTTTATTGGATCTTGGTTAACAGAAATGGTTTAATTTTACCTTTATTGCAGAAGCGTCGTATTTTGTTTTGACGCTATTAAAACAAAAGGAACATCATCAATAGTTGTTATAGCTATCATATACAGAGTTGATTTCACCTGGCCATGGCTGACCACTGAATATTTATATAGTTTGACTATGATATGAAACGGAACAACAGTGGTAGGAGTAAGTGTTCCGAACTGTATAGACAACATAGGTGGCACAATTTTCCTTCCCCAATGAGTGAAACACAGAACAATTCCACGACTCGCCATCCCTTACCGAAGTGGAAATTTATTCTACTGTTGAACGTTCATGTGATTATCACAATCATTGCTTTGCTCGGGAGTTATTTCGTGCTAAGAGTGTTTCACAAATTTCGGAACCTGCGAACTGCCTCCAACAACATTCTGGTGAGTTTGTCTATCGCCGACGGCTTACTAGCGATTCCCTTGATTCTTGATATCATTCACTTATGCCTTGAATACACTTTTGGGAATCCTCCATGTTTTCTTAAGCTTAAACCAGTAAGCGGAACTGTCACCTTGTTCCTCCTTTCGGTCGTTGTTCTTCATCTCACCTTAATGAGTTCAGAACGGTTCATCGCTATCAAGTTCGCTTTAAGATACCAGGCCATAGTGACCAAACGTCGAGCACGGATTGTTTCCATTGTGATGTGGCTATGGGCTCTGGTCGTTATTGTGGCTGTCCCAAAGGTGCTTCCCAAGGCAACAGGCAAAGATTTCAGAGAATTTGGCAGAGTGATGAAAGCAGACTGTAAAACCTCCCAAGTGTTCCACATCAAATGGCATCTTGTATTCCAAGCTGTGTCAATGTTTCTTGTCCCCTTGTTGATCATTTTATGCTCGTACACCTACATCTTCATAGTGTCTTACAAGCAGAGACAGCTTCTCAGAAAACAAGGCCGTGACATTCCAGGGATGCCCACCGTCAAGCATCACATGAAAGGTGCCCACACTCTCGCCATTGTTGTAGCGCTGTGTCTACTCAGTATCATCGCTTTGCTGGTTGTGACATCCCTCCGAATCTTCTGTGGCAAATCACTCAAGGACCACCACCATCAAATGCTACTGGAGAAGATCGTCTACGACGTGGCCATGTTTTTGAATGCCATATGCAACCCTCTTATCTATGGGTGGAAAAATGAAGAATTTAGAAACGCTTTTCGTAAGATGCTAAAATGCTGTTAAGTGAGCTTAGTGCGCGAACTATACCCAAGATTAACTGTATTATTTTATTTAAGGTAAATTGGCCGAGTATCAGGTACCAGACGATACCAAAATCCCTTTTGTAAGCCACTGAGAACAGCTCAAGAGGTTTCTACCTGCTAAATTACTGGACTTAAATAAAAAGCCGTAGGCAGAAACTGTATGGTGTCAAATGCGGCTTATTCATTTCATGTATGATAATAATATAGTGGCACGAATGTAAGTTGTCAAATTTTATAACAAAAGTTTCCTTTTGAGAAAAAAAGAGACTAATTATATGTTTTATGATCAGATCTAGTGAAAAAGAACTTTTGAAAGAGGCCCAGTGGAGGACATGCACAGATGCATTGCGAATTTGTCAAAAATTTTGCCGGCGGGAAGGGGGTGATTCCCATATGAAAATGATGGAATATTCGCCTCCTCGCTTAGAGTTGATCATGGATTATGCATGGAACCAATATAACCGTAGAGGTATTACTGTAGATTGTCGGTAAAGAAATATTAAACTATGTGCAACAAACAAATGCCTTATAACAAAGGGAGAACAGTTGTGACCAAAATCGCGAAAAAAAACATGAGATTTGTAATTTTTGCAACTTCCGTTAAAATTGTAAGATCGGCAGCGCAACTTTGAGGATTTGCTGCTATTTACATAACAAAGGGGAGCAAATTGTGAAAATAGCAGAAGACTGATGAAAAATCGTGAAATTTGTAAATTTTGCAATTGCCGTTAAAATTGTAAAATCCGCAGCGCCGTTTCTCGTAAGCTCATCGCGAAAAATCGCTAATTTTTTAATTTTGTAGTTTTCGCAAGGTCATCTTGGAAAACCGTTAGGTTTGCAAATT